AGGTTTTGTGCAGAAACATCCACACTTTTTGAAGTGCCGAATACAGAGACCTGGTGCACTACGTACCACAGGGTCCCGAAACGACACTCTGCAGGTTGTAAATTCAGAGTTGTCCTTCTCCTAGACCAGTTGCCACCCAAGGCTATAGAACCCAGTCTGTCCTGCTATTTACCCATAGCTGGAGGGAGAAGAAGAGGATTCATACGTTTCCCAAGGGTATTAGCACGTAAGAGAATGTTATGGATTCGACTGGAATTCGAACTCGGTTCTCCGATTCGTTAATCCAAGCCGCTATCCATTACGCCTCCATTAAGGTGTGCTATATTTATGGAATAAAGTGCTCAATATCAGAGATAGAGCGTGTGTAAATATAAAAGTGAACATCCTAAAAAATGAAAAACGGAAAAAATAAAATAAAAACAAATAAATACACTAATAAAAGATAGAAATAAAAATAAAATAAAATAAATAAATAAATAAATAAATACTATGTTGCTTAAAACCGAAAACCGAAAAGAGAAAATATACAAGTAAAATAAATTGACCTAAATTCATCCAAGTAAATAAATAGACAAACCAATCCAAAATTAAAAACTCTTCCCGCCAAAATAATAGTTAGAATGAACTACAACAACCAACCCCAAAGTTGAACAAATAGCTTTAATTAAATTCTCAAACCAAAACAAAACTGTTAAATAAGTGATATAAATAAATTTTTACTACGTTAATAAATAAATAAATAAAATAAGAAACAAAAATAAAAACGAGCAATATAACTTGACCCAGATAAATAAACAAACGACTTCCGGTAAAATAACCGCCATAATAGAATACCCACAATGCACCACTAACCCGTATATATATAAATAGCCGAGAAAAATAACAGCATATGTGGCCTGACGATTGCATATAGCATGAAACAGACTGTCGCCTCTAAGTGTTGACTTCTATGTTCACTTTTATATTTATATATATATATATATATATATGTTTGTGTGTGTGTGTGTGTTTTAAGACATTTTTTATGTTTATATGTTCTTTTTATAGATACAAATATTTTAAGTAAATGCTCCGCTTATAATAAACAGTATTAACAACATATACCGGCCTGAATGTCCCAAAAATTTTCATAGAATATATGCGTCCTCCGACAGGAATCGAACCTGTATCCTATACGGATCCGTCATATATCTTGACGTGCTTTACCGACTGAGCCAAAGAGGAGCGTTTCGGTTAGCAAGGACGATTTTACTGTTTTTCAACTACAATTCTCTATGATTTTCTATCGTACAGTCATATCTGTTCGATGCGTATCCAAATGTAAACAAATGACGTCACACACTATGAAATGGACAAAGTCCGACAATTATTTTAAAACATTTTTATGTTTATACGTTCTTTTTATAGTTACAAATCTTTAAGTAAATACTCTGTTTTATAATATACAGTATTAACAACATATACCGGCCTGAATGTCCGAGAAATTTTCATGGAAAATATGCGTCCGCCGACAGGAATCAAACCTGTATCCTATACGGAACTGTCATATATTTCATAATATATATATGTGCGTATGTGCGTATGTGTGTGTGTGTGTGTGCATAAATTATTTGAGAATCTGAGGGAAGGCTAAATACATAAAGCGATTTTGGGGAAACTCTTGTTTTGACATGTCTCGCCGATCGAACAGCGATGTTGGAAAAACGGATTTTATTTCAAGTGAATCGACATCAGCGAGATAAAATGTTTTTTTTTTTTTAATTCTTCGAACGGTTATAATTTTTTTTTTTTTTACATCCATTTGATTCAATTAAATCATCAAGCGTTCATATGATTAAAGTAAATCACGTTTTGTCTCGTTAATGCAGATTTTGTTGAAATCCGTTGGTTCAAACCGTGGAATGGTTTTCAGGCACTTACTATGCCGCACACTGGGATCGTCCCTCCCCCCTCAGGCCGATTTCATTACAAATTTCTTATATATACTGACAGATGCCTATAAAATATGCTGACAAGTGCCTACAAAGTCATTATATATATATATATATATATATATATATATATATATATATATAATATATATATATATATAATACTATCTATATAAAAACCTTAGGTGTTTTGGCTTGTAATTGAACTAACCAATACTCAAGGAAAAATAAGGAATAAAAAAAAAGAAAGATCTAAGAACATGTAATTCAGGCGAAAACAATCGTCCAGAATCCAAGCTCAGATCCCAAAGAAAAAAAACCTCCAACACGAGTAAAGCAAAATTAACTAAGCAAAGTGCTCAATACACTAAATAGAGCAAATCTAACTATGAAACTAAAGAGCCAGGCAAGCCTACCTTGGTTTCATCTACGCGGATCGTCAGTGTACGCCGGCCAAAGAGGTAGCATTAGAACAGAATATAAATAGGCTATTTATATTCTGTTCTAATGTTACCTCTTAGACCAGCGTACCCTGACGATAACTTATAACTTATAACTTATTCACACGCACACACACACACATATGTGTGTATTTTTTAATTACACACATACATATACATACACACACACACACACACACACATATATATATATGATAAGTGGAAAGCCATTTCATTGAAATTAGATTTGATTATGCATTTCTAGGCTTCATCAGATCAAAAAACAAAAGAAAAAGAACTATGTGTGTGTCGGGGGGTATATATTTGTGTGTATGCTTAAATAATAAATCATTAGTACTTTTTCCGCAAAGCTGGTGTTTCTTGTGATGAAAGAAAAGAATGAAAATTATAAAGTTTCTAAAATCATGGCCTTGTGCCAGACTAAGCAAGAGTTGGTAAATACTTATGGGCACTACATGTAGTCAGGGGTTAATTCATTGAGCAGTGACTTTACTTCCTGACAAGGTGTCCTGATTATGTAGTCCTATATCAATAATAGCATAATTATAAGAAATGTGTGTGTGTGTGTGTGTGAATAAGTTATATTTAGGCAGCAGGTATTAATTCAAACAAGTTTAATTAAAAAGAACCAATGAGGTATGTTTCTTTAATGTTTTTTATTAGATTTTTCCAATTTTTGTATAAGATGCTGAATATTGTTCTCGAAGTTGTAGAACGAAGTCACAAGTCATCGTGACTGAGAGCTTGAGCGTGCTGGCCTTGTTAAAATTGTTGATCACGCAAGATAACACGCTTTCCCAGAAACTGTAACTAAAGTCTGTTCAGTATAGTTGCCGTATAAACCACAGTTGGGCTCTGTGTGTGTCGAATAAACACAAGCGTCTGCAGTAGGGATTGACTGGCCGCCCTACCCTCGAATACGAATGGCCAGCTATTATTATAATAAGTAAAATGCTAACAAACATCACTATACTATACCTATTCAATCAGATTCACAAATATTCCTACTCGATGGCCTTTGAAACATAACCGTTACCGCCTACCCCATAACCGTTAGGATAAAACAGTATACCTTGCTAGCCATAATGCACCATTGTCCAGCATATATAAATGGTCGAGCAGACATGAATAGCAATCCATCTCTCATACAAGATTCTTTAAAAATAATTGACAATGTACTTTCTTTAAGTTTTTTTTACTGTTCTTCTTGCTTACGTACAAGAGATTTCTCTACACTGTTTACATTGTTCGGCCGGTTGTCTTCATCTTTCTCGACATATTCACGACGTTTCGGCCGTTGTACTCCGGCCTTCTTCAGGTGAATAGAATTTATTTCGTCCACCGGGATAAATTGTTCTAGTTCCATGTATCATGCCTCTTCCGGATATCTCAGTTTCAGTTATTTCCCTTTAACCCTATCAGTACAAGTGTAACTTAAGGTCCTGGGTATGTCGATAAGCTACATCCGGCAGCAAAGCCTTTGATCGGAAGGTTTTGAGGAGCGTGGAACCACCTCTTAATTGCTGTTGTTCCCAGGTCCATTCTACGTAAAGAACGAAATATGGTAGAATTGTAGTGAACAAAACAAGATCTAGATTTAAAATTCAAATGCTAAGCACTGACTCATTGATTTTGTTAGAAATTTAAAAAGACTCGAATTTACAATTTCACGAGTTTTGTTTTGGATTCGCTTTTGCGTGTGTGTTAAGCAAAGTTTGTAAATTCGAGTCTTTTTAATTTCTAACAAAATCAATGAGTCAGTGCTTAGCATTTGAATTTTGAATCTAGATCTTGTTTTGTTCACAACAGAACAACTGATTTGGTGCAAATATTTCGTTTTCGGCTGTGGATCTTCCTTCTCCACATATGATGTTTTCTATTTGAAATCTTATAGATTAAACAGTAATTTGTGGCGTTGTTGATACTTGCTTCCCACTTATTTTCTTCTCTACATCCAGTTAGCTAATCGGATATAATGTAGTCCACTTGAGAGTCCACTTGATAACAGAAGCCATTGGGTTATACCAACGGCTACCCATACTTAATACTTCTCGTTTTCACTCTCACGTGGTCATGTGTGACGTCACGAGCTGCGACGCGATTTTCGCTTCCACGTCTCGCATACACGAGTTTGTCGTTGCTTTGAAATTCTTCATGCAACAAAAACAGACTATCACTATTGTTTCGTCCGTGTATTGTTTGATATATTGAAATGTAATTGTTATCTTTAATAAGGGCGTATGTAAGCCAAAAGCTTATATTGAATTTAAACATGTATCAATATGGTGATTTCCTTTCGTCTTTCAGCGATAATGTTATTAAGCTTATTAGACAATATGAAAGAAACTTACTTAAAATAAATAGACAAAACTTATTTAATGAAACATGCATTCATATATATATATATATATATATATATATATATATATATATATATATATATATCTTGCACTGTGATGATCTTTCGAAGATTAGATTAGAATTTCCATCCCGCCCTTAAACTCATTGAAGGTGAAACAAACCAGTTAATCGACCAGCGTCAGAAATTGAACTCTCGATAACAGCTCGAAAGTGTAAAGAAAAAAATCGCCTTTATTCACCAGGTTACTATAGCTTTTAACGATTTTTGGGCATCAAATGTAAAGCTATTAGAAAGAAAGAAAGAAAGAAAGAAAGAAAGAAAGAAAGACTGATTGATTTTGGGGGTGAAAAAGGAACAGAAAGAAAGAAAGAAAGATTTGGGGGATAAGAAAGAAAGAAAGAAAGAAAGAAAGAAAGAAAGAAAGAAAGAAAGATTGATTGATTTTGGGGGAAAGAAAGAAAAAAGATTTGGGGGAAAAGAAAGAAAGAAAGAAAGAAAGAAAAAAGATTGATTGGGGGGTAAAAGGAAAAGAAAGAAAGATTTGGGGGATAAGAAAGAAAGAAAGAAAGAAAGAAAGAAAGAAAGAAAGAAAGAAAGAAAGATTTTATGGGTGTAAAAGGAACAGAAAGAAAGAAAGAAAGAAAGAAAGAAAGAAAGAAAGAAAGAAAGAACGGAAGAAGAAAACGATATGCGAAAATTAAAAACTAAAACAGGAAATGGCTGAGAAGTAAAAAAAAGCGTGAAAAAAAAGACAGAGTGAAAGAAAGAGCGAGTGAAAGAATAAAAAGAAACATAAAAAAAAACGAAAGAATAATGAAAATTAAATGATTGGAAGAATGGAAGAAAGAAAGAAAAAAAAGCGAAGTAAAAGAAAAGAGACGTAAAAGGTACATCTAGATAATAAAAGAAAGAAGTAAAAACCTTGCAGGCGAATTGTGTGGGTGGGGAGGCATGGAAGCGGCAGGCAAAGCCAAGTGGCGTGCAGAGTGGAAAGGGAAGGTCGTGAGTGGAATGGGGCACTGGAAGGCTGTCGGCTTTTCGAACCGAAAAAGGAGGGATTAAGGCGCATGCGCGTGCGACTTTTTCCTTTCGTTAATGTTGAGGATAACAAGACAGGAATTACCGGATGAGCTCTGCTAAACTGGACCGGAATCAGGTTTAAGACGGGCAAATAGCCGAATCAGAAAAGCGTCTCAGAACGATAAAAACCACAAACTGCGACAGTCGACTAACAACCAACAACCACCTACTCCCTACCACATACACCACCAACATGACTGCCTCTGCTGTCACCATCACTGAAAAAGGAAGTAGAGGCTTACGTGATGATAATAATAATAATAATAAAAAGGATTCTGCTGAATAGTTCTCAGCTCTGGCCTTCCCTAAATCTGACCAAATACCCAAGAATCAGATTTTTTTTCTTTTTTTAGAAGAGCTTCATGGTCGGTTCTATTACTTTTCAGCACCCCTCGTAATAATAATAATAATAATAATAAAAGGGGTGCTGCTGAATAGTTCTCAGCTCTGGCCTTCTATGCTAACTTAATACCCAAGAATCATATTTTTTTCTTTTTTTGGAAGAGCTGAATGGTCGGTTCTATAACTTTTCAGCACCCCTTCGTAATAATAATAATAACAATAAAAGGGGTGCTGCTGAATACTTCTCAGCCCTGGCCTTCTCTAAATCTGACCAAATACCCAAGAATCAGAATGTTTTCTTTTTTTAGAAGAGCCTTTTGGTCGGTTCTATAACTTTTCAGCACCCCTCGTAATAATAATAATAATAATAATAATAACAATAAAAGGGGTGCTGCTGAATAGTTCTCAGCCCTGGCCTTCCCCAAATCTAACCAAATACCCAAAAATCAGATTTTTTTAAATTTTTTTCTTTTTTAGAAGAATTTCTTGGTCGGTTCGATAACTTTTTTCAGCATCCCTTTGTAATAATAATAATAATAATAATAATAATAATAATAATAACAACAACATATAAACATTGTAAAGGCGGAGCAGGTGAAAATGCAAAGGTACCAAAAGACCTGGCAAATCAGAACAATATATCAAGCAGCAACTGAAATTGTCGCTTTTGCGGTTGGCGCACTCTAGAGTATTTTCCAGAAAACTTTCTGCCTCGCAAAACGCCTTTGGGATACCTGATATCACTGGGATTGTGCATGTGTCAACACTGCTTGGAACAGCTTATGTGCTGAGGAAAGTGTTGTGTCGGCGGGTAGAAGCTGAGATATAATCATCATCATCATCATCATCATCATCATCCGGTCGAAACATCTAAGAGTCGGAGAGGATATCAAATAATTATAAGTGCAGATTAGCTGTGAAAGAATTTTAAAATGACTGGGTAAGAACAAGGAATTGTTTAAACGACTGAGATGGGAGCACGCAAGTTAGTGCAGAAGCTCTTATAGAGAATGAACAACCATTTTAAAAGATTCAAATGTGTTTCTTAAGCCAGAAACCAGATCTCGTGATCATAAAAGTAGGAGAAAAAAACGTTGTCCGCAGTTTCTGTATTCAAGTAAGTAAAACTAAAAAAACAAAAATGAAAACAAAAATTTGAACTTAGCAATAGTAGTTAAATAAAAATAGGGAACATATGAAGTTAAATATTGTACCCGTCATTACTGGAAAACTTGGAATAGTCCCGAAGCGGTTAGAATCATACTGAGAGAAACAAAGTGTGCCTTCTTATTGACATAGCAGTCTCTGAAGATTACAATATTATCTTCAAAAACTACCAAAATACAATGATCTTGAAATGGAAATCTCACAAATGTGGCACATGAGGACATTAATAATTCCAGTTCTAGTTGGAGCCCTCGGTTTGATTTGAAAAGGGGCCGATAGACTCAGTAAAGGGATTCCTGGCAGCCCATGCGTTAAATTAATACAAAATAAATGTACTGACAACTACAGTTCACATATTACGAAGAACTTCATCTGTGTAAAATGGGTGTGATCTTAGGGTTTTTTTTTCTTTTTTGATCAGTGGAAAATCTCATTTTTCAGTGGAAAAAGTCACTTCTCTCTTCAGGTCTCTGGTTGGACCGGAAGAAAATCTGTATACAATAAAAATCCAAGAAAATAATAATAATAATAATAATAATAATAATAATAATAAGAAGAAGAAGAAGAAGAAGAAGAAGAAGAAGAAGGAAACTGAAAGAACATGGTATGAACACCAACCAGACCCGGTTACGGAGATAGGACCTGTTACAATTCTATGGGACTACACAATACACACTGACAACAATCAAAGCCAACCGCCCAGACATTATTAAAGACCACAAACAAAAAAATGCCTCCTTATTGATATGGCATTCTCTGCAAACTGCAATGTATCTTTGAAGATATTCAAAAAGCTGTCAAAATACAAGGACCTTGAAATAGAAATCTAAAAAATGTGGCACATGGGAACATCAACAATCCCTGTTGTAGTTGGAGCCCTAGGATTGGTTGGAAAAAATTCCAGTAGACTAATTGAAGGGATTCCTGGAAGTCCATGCTTTAAAGAAATACAAAAAAATTATTCTGACAAGTACAGCCCACACTCTACGAAGCGCTTTTTCTATGTATTGTTTTTTTTTTTTTTTGTTTTTTTGTTTTTTGTCAGTGGAAAGTGTCATGATGCCATTTCTAACCTTAGGTCCCTGGGCGGAACCCGGAAAGAAATGTGTACACGCCAGAAATCAAAGGAAATGAAAATAATAATAATAATAATAATAATAATAATAATAATAATAATAATAATGTTTAGATTTCACAGAGTGATATGACGAGTTTTTCGAACCTTTGAAAAATTCAAATTTTAAAGTATTACATTTTTCTTTTACGCTTTTAATTTTTTTAAATTTTATTTTTTTACGGTTTTGTTTTTTGTTTTATGGTTTTAGTTTATGTTTTTAATTTTTATAATTTTAATTTCATGGTTTTAATCTTTTTTATCGTTTTAAATTATTCTAATGAATGAAACATAAATATAAATTAGAAATGTTGTATATATCAAAATTTAAATTGATAAATTAATTTAAATCCATATGCATTTTATTCTTTATATTTGTCATATACCGTACCTATGAACACTAATGGTTATGTCCCAATCCTTATAAATACATTGAACACTATTGTAAGTGGGGGTAATATGCTGTCTAAGTAGTCCACCACTAGCAGTGGTTTACCTACTTCACACTGCTGGCGAGTATTGGATTTTGTTGATGTTATAAAGATTACCATTTCATTTCCAACCTCCGTTTTGCTTAGTAACCCTTTCTAGGTTGCAACAATATTTTCGTTATTTTTTCATATTGGATTCAAGGAGCAAAAAGAGGAAAAAATTAGGAAATAGGGGATCACCATGATTTGCCGGATGATTTTGGGTTTGTGTGTATTAAATTTGGTCATATTTTGGTATGGGAAGACAAGGAACGTAAGTAGTTCAACAAGAAAATGTGGCGGTGAACATTAATGGTGATAAGATATAATAGCACTGGAAGGAAGGAAATGAAGATGAAGGAAGTAGAAACAAAAAAAAAAAGAAACCATTCTTGACAGCAACAAGAAAAAGGCTGTAATTATTATTTTTTACGAATCAATTAGCATAGAGAAACGGCAGCCATTGCAGGGCCGATGATAGCAGCGGCAGGACACGGTTGGTTGGCGGGAAGAAGGTTGTGACAACAACAAGGCCGAAAATCCCGTTGTCATTAGAACGAGAATGCGGAAGTAAAGAGCAAAGTCAGCAAGGTGGGGGTTGGAAGGAAGAGAAGAAGGCAAAGACGGTGGCGGAAAAGACGCTTGGTGACGTTTGTGACGTTGACGCTTTCATCCAAAGGAACACGCAGTCGTGAGCAATTACGTCTAAAAAGCAAAGCACCGTGAGCCGAGGAGAGGAAGGGAGAAAGGAGCAAGAGAAAAGAGGGAGATTTATAAGGAAGCAAAAGAGACGGGCAAAAAATAGATAGATAGATAGATAGATAGATAGATAGATAGATAGATATGAACACATTGAGATAGATAGATAGATAGATAGATAGATAGATAGATAGATAGATAGATAGATAAGGAGCAGAATTAGAGAGAACGAGGAGGATAGATAGATAGATAGATAGATAGATAGATAGATAGATAGATAGATAGATAGATAGATAGTGTGAGATAGAGGGAGAGAGAGAAAGAGAGATAAATGGGAAATTGTACCCCAACAATGAAGAAAAAAGAAAGAAAAAAGAAGACAGAGCGAATGAAGAAAAGGGAGAAAATGTAGAGTAAACAGGGAAAAATGAAGTCGATGATAATCGATGTACATATAGCGTCTGAAATAAGAGGCGCGGCTGAAATAAAAGGGATGCTGAAAAGTTTTCGTCCAGACCCTAACCCTAACCCCAGCCGTCACAAAACTTGTTTGGTTATTTGATCACATTACAGAAAGTGGGTTGGTCCGGCAAATTTCCTTTAGAGCTACATATATCCTGTTGAGACCAAAGACAGTGTTCGAGTCTAGGTTAAAAACAGGTTTTGAATGCAGATTTTCAAGGAAAGCAACTCACCACATTTCAACTGAATTGTTCGTCTCTGTTCTAATTAAATAATTAGGAGAAAATAAAAAAAAAATTAAATCGCTCAAACAAGAGAAAAAAATAAAAAAGATAAAACAATTGAAAAATAAATTCGAACGAAATGAGATTTTTTTTAATTGAATCACCCCAAGGAAAGGCAATAATGCCAATAAATCACAAGGGGGGGTTACAGGTTGTGGAAGAATTAGGAACAGAAGCATTAATAATGAACAAAAAGAGAAGAGAGTTAGCAGGTAGACAGTATATAGTGATTAACATTGCATTTAAATTTTTGCAGATTAAAGTTGGCTGGAAAGCATGGATTCGGAAAGGAGTTCCACAAGCGATATGTGCGAGAGAAGAAACTGTTAGCATAGAACTTACGGCTACAAGCCAACTCAACTCTCGACGCAAGTCTAGTGCTGCGCTTAAATTCAAAAACTCTAGGTACCATACGAAGAGTTCATCCGAACAATTACCATGAAAGGATTTA